TTAGACATCTTACACCTAATATGACCGATTCAAAGATTCTTAATTTTTGTCACATCCCAAATGGAATACTGTTTACCATCTCAATAAATGGCACCTGAAATCTACCTGAATGCTTAGGCCCCAAACTTGGGCAACCCCTGCTTTTTTTTTTTTTTTTTTTTTTGGCAGTGCTGTAGTTTGAACCCAGGGCTTTACACAGGCTAGCCAAGTGCTCTACCACAGAGCTGAACTCCTAGCCCCAAGTTGATTCCTCTTTTAACCACAACTTACTCATGTTGGCACTACTTTCAAATATATACTCAATTCCAAATATGACTACAAGTCAAAGTCACCTCCATTTCTTATCTGAATAATTGTTTTCTTGTTTCCACCCTCTAAAATCCATTCTCCATCAAGTATCCCAAGAGGTATTGTGAAGGCAAACCAGTTTCAGGGCTGCATTATGACTTTGGTGACTTTAAGCACTTTGCCTTCAGAGGCCCCTTTCACCATTAAAAAGTATTTAAAATATTTAATATTTTACAATGGCATTGATATAAAGATGAATATGTTAACATTATGTTTTTATAGAAATTCAAGTTCTGGTTCCCTTCTGATTATAAAAGAAAATCAAATATTTTTGTGGATCCATTACTGTGGGCCCAAGACCCTGTACTGTGTCTTGTGGATTAAGTGAGTCTGATTGGACCCCACCAGGTCTACTATTGAAAGCCACTTGACTATATTTCTTGGCAAAAAGAATAAATTCCAAAGCCCTTGCTGGAACTCTTATTCCTTACATGAGCTGACCAGAATCTCTCTCTCTCTGAACTCTTCTCCTGATACTATCTTCCTTGTTGACTCTGCTGTGGCTAAACAAACCACTATCTGTCTCAAATTTGAATAGACCAAATTTGATTCTGAAAGGGACCCTTGCACTTCAGTTTACCATGCCTGAAATATTTCCTTTTGTCCCCACATTTTTTTTAGTTGTAGATGGATATATCTTTATTTTACTTATTTATTTTTATGGGGTGCTGATGATCGAACCCAGTGCCTCATGCATGCAAGGCAAGTACTCTACCACTGAGCTACAACCCAAGACCCCTGTCCCCATTTTTAATGGACAGTTCATAGTTAAGTACAGGAAGCCTGAGAAGTTTGTTTGGATTGTGCAGGTATGGAAAAGGTTGACTTGGCTTGAGGAATCTTGCTGGTTCCCTATTCAAGGGGACTATTTTCTAGTTAAGGGTGCTCCACAGTAAAAGAAAGAAGTTACATCACCAGAGGTAAGAGATAAGGAAGTGAAATAGCTGGTGTCATGTGAGAAACAGCAACCCTGAGTTGAGAACACAATCACAGTGAATCAGGTAAAGATGTTTTCCCTCTTCTGGACTCTAACCCAGTTCACTGGAGGAGCTGGAGACCTGAAGAGCCAGGATCTTTAAATTAGATAGGAAGGTTTAACTTTTAAATTAAACCACATGGAGATTTATTTGCCAAAAGAAACCAGGCAATTATGGACTCAGTCTGCCCAACTCCAAGGCCATGATCTTCCTATACCAGTCTGCTATACCAAATCTCAACCTTGTTGACTTTTGTACTGGAAGCTGATTTATTTCCTCCTCTGGGGAAATATCAGTCAAAGTGAGAGATGTTTTGCATCTCCTAGAAATGGCTCCATATTGACTACCTCTGTATTCTAGCCCCCATCAAGAGAAATTTTAAATGCCCTTCTCCCTTTGGAGGACCTCATATGCTGATCCACGCACAGCAGGTAGGCAGCAGGAACCACAAGACAAGCCAAGAGCTGAGAGATCCAGGGAGCTGGGGTCCATTGTTGTTCTGGTTAGCAAACTGTCAGTCTACATTCTATACACTGCCTCAAAAGGATTTAAAAATCAAGGTGACAAAACATGCTTGCTTGTCCAGGACCAACCTGGTTTGTGCCTGCAGCCCCAATCTCATTATTATTTGTGCTCCCGTTCAGGCAGTCTCAAAAGAGTCCCATCCTGATGATAAATTAAATGTCTACCTTACCAAACACCCATAGAGATCAGTTGATAGAGGTAACTTCAAGCTGTCCTTGAGTTAGTTCATGACAAGAATGAAGAAAAAGTTCAGATGAGAACAGTTGCAGAACCCAGACAAAGCAAGAAGGAAATACAGGCCAGTGGAGGGACTCTTACTAGTCCACAGTGAGCAAGTACTGAGAGAGCAGCTGTCAGAATTCCTTTGGACACCAAGGCAGTTGTCATTTACTCTATGATTTTCAGAAGATAGACGTGAAAGCTGTTATTTCAGGACAGGCTTAGTCATCCTCAAGTTCTAAGTTAAAGACCTTCTGTAAGGGTTGTTGGAGAAAGATGGCTACCTTAAATAAGTGACCAGGTGTCTTAGGCACTTCCCCTCCCAAGGAGCAGGTAGCTAAACTCCACAAGAAGGAATTGGGAGATGGTGACAGCATTCTAATCTCTTTGTGAGCCAGAAAATGTAACAAAAGAATTTGTGTGTGACTCTACACTCATTGGCACATATTTACCTGTTCAGTGCTGTTTTCCCAGTGTTTAATATAAACTTCTAAGGTTGAAATTCCATATAAAAAAGGAGTTCCACATTCTGCCACAACCTTCTGATTCTCAGTTACAAATGATTTTCAAGTTCATCCTTTTCCATTTTATGTGTGAACATTTCTAAATCCTGGTTCAGGGTCTAGTTCAGCTCCATATCTGATGTCACTCAGGATGTCACACTTTCTGCATCTTCACTTCCATCCAAACGCTGTGGCAGTAACTCCTAAAACTTAGAAGTCTAGACTGCTTGTAGGCATTGCATGAGAGAACAAGGTTTCTGTCACTAAAGATGCTTATTAAAATACAGATTTAGAAACACAAATAGGACTCTTTACTACAGAACTTTCCAGAGTTGGGTTTTTTTTTTTTTTTGAGAGAGAGAGAGAGAGAGAGAGAGAATTTTTTTTAATATATATTTTTTAGTTTTCGGTGGACACAACATCTTTGTTTGTATGTGGTGCTGAGGATCGAACCCGGGCCGCACAGGCGAGCGCACTACTGCTTGAGCCGCATCCCCAGCCCTTTCCAGAGCTTTTAATGTGGAAACAGTGGTTCATGTGAACCCAATAATGAGTTAGTATTGAGAGGCATCTTCCTTTTACTTGATGACAATACCCTTTTTATTTCTGGTAGAAAGTCTGGAGGGACAAATATTTAAGGATCATACTTTGGGAATCATTGTTCTACTGGCCTTGCTAGGAATATGTGGTTGCAGTGTATACAACTAACACATAAAGTATCAGTTATATTAATATCATGAGTACTTTTTTTTCTTTAAATTACAATAATATTTTAATACCATGCTTTCTTTTATTGTCACTGAAAAGACAGACATGTCAAATTTTATAATTTTCTGTTCCAGTTCTATAAGTTATGCTGTATATAGCATATCCTTTAGTAAATTACATCCACTTGCAAACTGATATTATTTTGACTTTGAATGCCTCCAAATCCAAAATATTATTGTCTACCTTTGTAAGAAATCAAGATATCAAAGAGCTTTACAAAAGGAGCATCTTTAAAATAAAAATCTTTTTTTTTCTCACCAAGCAAAAGCAAAGCAAACAAAAATCCCAAAATATCAGACACAGAAATGGAGACCTCTCTCCTTCCTCAGGCGTGAGATTCTTGTTAGATTCCAAAGCAAATTGTACTGGAACTCAGAAGATTGCTGGCGGCCCTGCATCTCCTTGCTATGCATAGTATTTGTTATGTGACTTGAAGAAAGTGTGTGGTGTACACGTCTTGAGTGCTGGATTATCCCTTCATAAAGCTCTATCGCCACAAAGCACCAGGAGGTTTAAGTCACCAGTGCTGTTTCCATGTCCTCGCTGCCACAATGCAGGTTGATATTAGTAGGGTGCGGGCAAAGTAAACATCTGCCTTGTATTCCAATTGCTTTTTTCTCCATTGATATACTTAGAAAGAAGCTCTTAGGCCAACGACCATAAAATTAAAATAGAATAAATCAAACTCCTTTCTTTATATACTACAATTATTGTATTTGTAAAACATTTATTGGAGTGCATGATTCTGAGCCATTTTGCATTCTCTCAATTTTCATTTTTATTATTGTCCCTGACTACACAAGCCTCCAGTCCAGAACATTCCACCAACAGGGATCCTTTTAAAGCCAGGGGAAGAAAAAGTCATACTGGTTTTTCTTAAAGCAAATGACAAGTATTTTTACTATAAAGTAATTACAACAAGACAGAAAAGTTTCCAGATTGAACAAGTACACAACTCTCCAAAAGCACATTGAAAACTATGCAGAAATAAATTTTGATTAGGCTATGTGACTGTGCCAGGCTTCAAACAAGTGGTTATTCTGTTGTGACATCTGCCGAGCAATGCATCCATTGTTCTCTGGAATTTAATTCATTTTAAATTACTCCATCCAAATGATAAAACACGAGACATGCTACACTCCAGGGGCAAAATGCTATGATTGTTTTTATTCCGACCACAACTGTGAGTAGAGAGGCAATACAGCCTGTTCTAATTAGACCCTGATTATAGTCTTTGCAAAACAACTAGCTCTAGAAATGTGAGTGAAATCTGCTAAGTGATCATTGGATAAACGAGCTTGCCTACTCTGCTGTGACTACAAAACTGGCAGAACCATAAGCAAAGACTTCCCACAAAGTAGAGTGACAGTCTTTGGAAGAGAAACCATTTTCAAAACTAAAAGTAGCTTGGGGTGCCAGTTTATTGTTAGATGTAGTTGAACATGTATATTAACAGAGCCAATAAATTATTTATTTTACTGTTCAAGGACTAACATGAGAATGCCTCCAAATCCAAAATATTATAACTGCCTAAGAAGTATTGTGAAATTTCTAAGAGTTATATGTGATGGACATACTACCATCTGGAAGCTTTAATAATCAAGAATTTTTAAAATATAAAGATATAAATCTCCGAAGAAAACACATACACACACAAGAATTCATATCTCCTGTATGCCACATATTTAATATAAACCTTTGAAACAAGTTCAGATGAAATAAAATCCAATGTTCTCAAAAAAAAGTGAATGATTAACTTAATTGTCAAATATTTCCTATTGCCCCAAACATCAGTATTGATTTTTACTTCTATGCAAAAGTATGCTTTCAAACTTCTTAAATGATATGATACACAAACCAGTTTTCAAATAATAAAGCCAGTCATCCTGCAATTTTAAGAAATTAGGTAAAGGATGTTACCTGACACATTACACACACACAGACACGTGTGTGTGCATGCATGAGCCAATGATAAAATTTGGCTTCTCTTACAATGAGTACATGAAGACTATTGAGTGCTTCCAGGAGGGAGCACTGTATCACCCCTCCCTACAGTCCAGGTAGTTTCCTTTAATCCAGTAGCAAATCTGAGCATATTTGAGAGGGGTGATTCTAACAGCCACATTAAAATCCTGTGGAGAACCATTCATGTCCACCCACTGGTGCCCTGAAAAGATGCCAATAATTTTTCTCTCCCACTTTTGCTGCTGTCTCTTCCACATCCTCACATAGACCCCTGACCCACTGGCCCCAGGCTGAGCATCACACTGCTGGTAAAGCAGGTCATAGGTCTCATCTTTGACATCACAGAAGCGGTACACCAAATTGCCAGGTCGATCATTGTCATAGCCAGAGAAGTGAATTCTGCCCCCTGGCAGCTGTTTAGCAGGAGGGCTCACCCCAATCTTCATGAACTTTCTCTTGTGGGGTTTTTTGAGTTCCAAGAGGGCATAGTCATAATCCATGCCAATATCATTGGCATTGCCTTTGATCCAACCCTTGGGCACATGGGTGCGTTTTACCCGGATCCACTGAAATTTCATCTTCTCAGGCAAGGCTGAGCTGGAGCTGTTGGCCCCTCGACCGCCATCTTTAAACTTGGGCTTCAGGAAGCCCACTCGAAGTTTCTGCGTTCCTTTCACATAGGTTTTCCCATCATGTATGCAGTGGGCAGCTGTGAGGACGTGTTTCTCTGCTACCAGAGTGCCAGTGCAGCCTGTAGATAACTTCACTGATGTTGAGAAAGGGTAGTTAAGTAGGAAGTCCTTCCCAAAAATGCTGAACCTGCTGTCATAGCCATAAATCTGCCGCTTCCTCCGAGACTTTCCTGAAGACTCAGAGTCTTGGTGTTGAGCTCCACCTCTGCCATTGCTGAGGATGTAAATGCCCACCTGAGTCTCTGTGCGGCTGCCATTGGAATAGAGTGTCTCATAAGACAGGTATTGTTTGGCCTCTTCATATGTGGGCAGAGGTGTTCCCTTGTGACACTGGGGTCCACATGAGGAGGACACTTCCAATTTGGCTTCAGCCCCAAAGTCTGGCCTGGCTAAGTTGAGGGTAGACTGGGGCAAGACTACAGGGAGGCGGTAAGCAGGCCAAGTGGGTTTCCAGAAGGCACCATAGGGACTCACCTGCCCAACAACACAGAGCAGGAGGAGAAGGAAGAGAAGCCCTGGAATCTCCGCCATGCTGAGCACAATTCTGTAAAAATGAAGAAGACAAGTAGGTCAGGAAAGTAAGGGCTGAACATTTATTTATTGCAGACTGACAAAGCTCGCAACATGCCTGTCATTATTTCTAAGTCTGTGAACTTAGGAATCAGGGTGTGGAAAGGAATCCTTGGATAACAGTCTTACTTACAATGCAAGGACTTGACCTTGGGAATATTACAGTGGCTGGATATTCCAAATAAAATTGGGTGGTCATTCCCTCTGATTTAAGATGTCCCTTATGATGGCACATTGCAGGGCGGCATGCCTATAGTCATTAGTCCCAGATGAATGGCTGACCAGCCTCAATTTCTATGTGATTCTTAGTTTTCTTTGTATTGGATTCTAAACACTGTCCTGTCCTACCATCTTGGTTCTCTCCCTTTCTGTCCTTCTACCTGTTTATTCTCACTTATAATAAGCACCTGGAAATTTTTCAGGAACACTTGCTCATGTAGAGGATAAATCTAAACTGTATAACTTACTGAGTGACCAAGGCATCAAAGAGGGAGAGTTCCACAGTGTCACTTATTAGGAATTCTATTGCTTCTACATGATGGGTACATTTGAAAGATGGGATGAGAAGTTGGTTTTTGGTGGGTGTTTTTTTTTTTTTTTTTTTTTTTGCTTTGAACTTAGAATATTTACTATTACATGTTTAGTTCCTGAGTAACCAGGTCATTAACAAACAAAATATTCCCTTTTCCTTTGGATTATTTTGTACACTAACAGGATCTATGTCAAATATCTAAAGCTCTAATATTGCATGAAGTATATCTTATGACTGCTACTCCTGGTTATTTTTTCAGGTGTTTGTGTTTGCATTCATAGCTAGAGTAAATGCCTTGCACTTGAGCTTATGCTAGCACCCAACAATGATTTATTGAGTGAATGCTTGTGTTAATGGAAAAGCAAGGAAATGGTGTGGTTCAGAAAATAATTTTTTTGAATGATGCATGCTGACTTCTAAAGACAGAGATGTATATAGATGATGTGGTTACTCAGACTAAGGGCATAAAGTCAGATATGAGAAGAATAAGAGAGGCATGCCAGGGTAGGGGATGCTTGAGATGGACACTGAAGTTGAAAAGAAGTTTGATAATGTAAGACTTGGAACACAGTCTGGGCAAGAGCACCAAAATATGTAACACTGAGTCATTTCAGCAATTATACTTAGCTCAGCAAGGGTGGAGAAGAGGAGGTGGTAATTGCAGCAGACAAGAGATGGATGATGAAGAGTTCTGTGTACTAAACAAAACAGTTTGAATTTTATCATGGAAAGGTATGTTTAAAGACCCAGAATTGTTAATCCCCTAAGAAAAACGACAGCAAAAAAGAAGACTGGAAGTACTTTCATAAATGCTTAAGCATAAATTGGCTCTGACTGGCTCTGAATCTTCTGGTTGGGCTGACTCAGCAAGTAGGGTAATTCATTCACAATCAAGCATCCAAGAATAGGAGAAAAAAGTCTCAAGTTGCTAGTGGATCACAGCAAGAACAGAAGAAAATGACTCCCTTATTCTCACCCTCTTCCTCTTTGAGGGTACAGAGTTATGGCAACTTTGGGTGCCCTGTGCTTGCTTTTACATAAAAACTGGAAAATCCCATTGACCCAATCTAGTCCAGCTGAGCTTGCCAATCCACATTCCCAATATTCACATGCTGTATTTCTAAAATATGTGTGTGCTCCACCCACCTCTGGGATCTTTTTTCTTGCCTCTATCTCTTGAATTCCATTTCTGTCAGGGAAAATAGGGATGGGAAAGGAAAGGAATGAGGTCCTGAAGAGGCAAATTCTTTGGGATCTCCTAATTCCCTAAAACACTGCTGGAAGGGTCTCTAGACCCTTTTGTGAGGAGAAATGCATTTAATTATTTTTTAAGTTCTTGAAATCATGGGATGCATGCACACACACACACACACACACAAAGTATGTTTGCTGGGGTACTAGGGAGGGTATGCTGATACCATCCTGAGTCCTCCTCCCAGAGGGAAACTTGGCAATGGGGATAGGTGTACTAATGACAACCCTTTGGGAAATCTGTGGGACAGATCAGCCTCTGTGTCTGATTATTCCTACCCATCTACTGGTTAAGGACCCAGCTCTTAGGCTCATCTGGGCTTGAAGAGCCCTTCCTCTATGTAAGTTGCTGCTAGGTGACTAAATGCCCCACTTACACGGGAATCCCTGCCAAGTGTGATATGTACTAAAAGGAATCATGCATAGTGTCTTGGGCCCCAACACACTATCCCCTCCTCCCTTTGACTAATGTGGAGAATGTTAGTTCTGCTAACATGGAGCAGTTACACCAAGGTTTACTTCAGCTTATCTTAAGAAAGAAAACATTGCATCCAGAGGTCCAAGCTGCCAAGTGTTCCTGTTTCTTTTCTTTTCTTTTTTTTTTAATATTTTTTAGTTGTAGATGAAAACAATATGTTTATTTATTTATTTTTATGTGGTGTTGAGGATCAAACCCAGTGTCTCACACATGCAAGGCAAGCCTCTACCACTGAGCTACAGCCCCAACCCCAGTGTTCCTATTTTTTAAAAATATGATTCTTGGGGGAGAGAGCAGGAGATAAGATAGCATTACACTGTGTATTATCATAAGTTGTACATAACATTTCAATGTGCATAAAGAACATGACAGTTATAATATGCTCACACTGTCATCTAGAGCATGGATCTTCAAATCCCAAATGTGAAATTTGTATTTAATTGGATCCTGGGAGTATGAAACTTGAATCATGGACTGCACCAACACCCACTGTTCCAGTGCATCTGTCTGGAGCTTTATCCATTTATCAAAAAATTGAAGAAGTCTGTTGGATAGGGTGTTAGGAAGAGAATGGCAGGAAAAAGTCTGAAACTAATGGAAACACACTTTAAAAATCCATCCAGAAACCTTAACTGATGAATTATTCCTTCTCTCAGGCAAAATTAACTCTAATTTCAATTTTCCAAGTACTTTGCCTGTACAGTAAATCCCTGTTTATTTAAAAAATATTTTCAAAGACCTTAAAGCATGCCCCATTTCACAAGTGCCACCATGGCATATTTTTTCTTTGTCTGTGTTTCAAAAAGAAACAATATTTTTAGGAACCAGTTCATGAGAGATACAGAGTATGGAGCAGTAAAACAGTCTTTTCTTGGGGGTGTGAGCTCTGGGAAGTTAGCTAGGCCCTCTCCCTAACCTCATTCCAGCCCCTCAATATAGAGGATCAAGTTTATTCTTTGGCAAAATGTTAGATGACTATGTGCCAAGAACTTTTGGGATCATTTACAAATCACAGAATGTTATTAGAGAATGCTAAACAGTTTACTGTATGATAGAATATTACAGATTCAGAGTCCTTACAACTTAAATTCTGGTCATTTAGCCAGAAGTGAAGGAGAAGTAAGCTATCTATGGAAACAAAGACCACTAAACCAACAAAGCAGGGATAAACTTGACCTCTCAGAATCAACTTTTCAGATACTTCAAAAACACTAGCATCTGCTAGTTTGAAATATTGCTTATAAGTTTTCTATATTATTACTGAAGTATACTTATTTGTGATAAGATCTTGTTCTGACAGCCTTCTGTCTTCCTTAAAGTTATGAAAGTTTTGCTTTAAAACTTCAATTCAGATTTAGAAACTCATGCAGACTTCTGGAAACTAATGCAAGTCAAATTATTCTGAATTTATTAGGTTTTTAAATGCCTGATCAGAAATTGAAAAATACAGCTGTGTGTGCTCAAGTCTTCAAGTGGGTTTAAATTGATACTCTGTATTAAAGTTACAAGGTTTCTAAGTTGCTTATTTCTTTATCAGATGCTTAAGTAGAGTGGTTTAGAAACTGTCCTGAATATCACCTTAAACAAATGCTCTTTTACCTGGTCTTCATAGATCCATGATTCTCTAGTTTTTAAGTTTCCAGGATCAAAAATATTCAGGTTAAAGACAATGTTGTTTATAAACAGTGTCTGCACTGTCATTTACTGCTCAAGGATGTTTACTCTTCAATTACTGAGGCTGGAGGTGTAGGGGAAAAGGAAAAGGGAAATTTATCTTGTTCTCTCTTACCTAATTAGGAGATAAGATTGCCCTAGTCATCTATCAAAGAAACAAGGGACTCCAGCAGAGGTTGACTTTCAAGAAGGGAGTGGAACTAAGTGGCTGGGTGTGAATGTTTTTAGGACAGGTCCCAAAGAAAAGTGTGAGGGGAACATCCCTACTGTCCTTTATGGGGCAGGGTGGGAAGGAATTTTTTTCTGAGGCATAAAAACCCTACCCTGAAAAATAAAAAATAAAAACCCTACCCTGGCTCATTCCCATTAACAACACAGCCAATGGTAACTGTGCTCCTTTAAAATCAGGTGGATGGCTTTGCAATAATTTCTCAACTCATCTGATAATAGTAATTTCCCCAGAGACAATATTTCCATTTTTATAAACTTTAGGTAAGTCTGTGTAAGTCCACTGAAATTTGTTTAAAATAGACACCCCAGGATTTAAACAGATGCAATAAAAACATTCCTATCCCCACAATTGGTAACAAATGGATTACAAAACTTTACATTCTCTTCCATGTTTACAAATGGATCAACCTTGTCTTTGTAGTGTTGTCTGGAAAACTCATACCTTAAAGAAGAAATGAAGATTTCTGAATCTTATTCTCATTATATCTAAATCTGGATTAAGAAAATTTAGGTCCTCAACATTCCATTTTTAAGAATAAGTCTTTCTTATGCACATAAATTATCTTTTAAAGTTCCCAACTGTTTTCGTGTATCACTTCACCTAAATGGCAAAGCAAAAAGGAAAATCAAGGTAAGCAAATACTGTTTTTCACTGTGCTTAGTAACACAGAAACAATATTCCTTTTCCTACTCTGGGTATCTGACTCACAAGGGGGTTACACATTCCATGTGCAGTCATACAACATGAGCAACTGTCTCCCTGTCCAGAGTCTCAAAGTGTTTATACTTTAGGAGTATGTTGCCATTCATGAGTCCATTAATCGTATGGTAGAGGGACTCTGCACATTATTAAATGTGCAAGCAACAGTCTCTTTGGAGAATGGGCACTGTGACTGCCGTCTCCTTCTGCACTTTAGTCTTCAAAACTGCAACAACAGAGGTCTCCTCAAGGGGGCCAGTGTTTGCGAGAATGATTTAACTCCTATTGCAAACAAGTGCTGTGAAGGAAAACCGAATCCTTGGGTCATCATTGTCTGTTGTACAACATCTGAATTCCGGTGATGCCCTATAAATGACTTAAAGAAACAGTAGGAAAGTGTGAAAGATGCTAATTTGGGATACCATTCAGAGGGATGACTTCCATGGAACTAGGGCTAGGAATACTGAACAGTGAAACCATGCTAATTCCTAAAGCAAATGCTTAGACAACAAAGTTCTGTGAATACTCTGCAACCCGCCTTGCTCTCATTTTCCTGAATCATAGACCCTTTTAAAGGAAAACACACCTAATCACATAATGTTTTAAGAATTACAGTCTCATAAAGGAAACTTCAGGGAACTTACAAGTCCAGCAACTCTAAACACAATTTTTTGTGGTTGAACCAAATTTAACTTCTCTATCAGATTTTAGGCAAAATGAACTACCCTAGCGATCCGGGGACAAACCTGGCAGCAGAACAAAAACCAGAGTGCATAAAACTGTTAATGGTGAGGCCATGAGAAACAAATTCCCCAGAGTCGGTGAGAGTTATGCATGGATAATGCCTGGTTCATTAAAGGATCTCTGAGAGAGATGTACAGGTGAACCTGAGACTATTAAAGACTGCAGACTGGGGCTAACAATGTTCTCAGACACACTAATGGGCCTTTGGCACTTATGCTACAGACAGAAAAGGCACCTACATTCACCATCTACCTGAATAGTTGTCAGTGTTACAAAAACAAGATCCATATTAGTTACCTCGGAAAAATGCTTCCTTCCTAGTTCAGGCACAGGAAGCATGACAAGTTATCTCTTGACTTTATTTAGATGGGAAAAAGACAAGTAAAGGATGTATTCATATGTAGATGGTTTGCATATGATCACACTTTCAGAAATCCATGTAGTGGCTTTTGTGGCATTTTCTAAGTTCCTTCTTCACATTCAACCTCCAATCACCCTCCTAAAAGACTTCTTGAAAGACAGAAGTCCTGTTTTAAATGCTTTCCTGCTCAAGTAGGATCTTGAAACAATGTGCAAAAATATCCTGATACTAATTTGCCATAGGGATTTTGGCCACAACAGACTTCAACTATAAACTCAACTCTTTCCACAGGGCCATGTGGAGACAATTCTAGCATTGGCCTCTCTGTTCCTAAGGAGCAATCAAGGAACCCTCAGTTACAGGAGCTCGGAGAGGCAAACCCAATTTAATCCTGATCCTGAATAACCTGGAGCTTTCCACTAGCTACAGGCTGTTTCTGAATTCTCCTGGGTGTAACCCAATGGGCAATAAAAGGGGATTTTTATCAGCTGAATTCTCATGAGACCACTTGAAAACAAACACAATTTGTATCCTGGAGGGGTATGATGGTGTTGTTTGATCTCTTTCTCCTTTTAAAAGGTTTTGAAAGCTCTAAAAAATCCGATTATTTAAAAGTTAACAACTTGTGATGAATGCCTAAAGGCAGAAGAAGAAATACTTGCTTCAAACTGTTGATAGTTCAAACAGCAGTTTCTAGGTTTAGCACCCTGCAGGAAGCCCAGGGCCATCAGGGCAGCCAACAGAGAAAGGAGCCTATTCCCTAACCTATGTTTGCTGATCTTTTTTCTTGCTTGCTAAGGTGTGTTCACAATCACGTGTCTAGTGTTAAAAATTAATGCTCCGAACGTGATGGAATCACATACAGTAAAAGCAAAACTCACGGAAAACAAGTGGCAGTGGTGGCGGTGCTGCCATCGCCCCGGCAGGAGGTGAGTTTGTCAGAGCCTGCTTCACCTTAACTCCCAGCCAGGACCCTGTACCCAAGATCGTTTCAATACCTTCTTTCCCCACTTGCTTCATAAGTGACACTACTTGAATCCAAACGTTCTGCAGCCCCTGGGTTTTCCCGGAACTCCTTCAGGACTGTGTCCCAGCGCTCGACCCCGCGCAGCGGCCCGAACCAGGTCCCCGATGCCCCCAGCAGCCCTTACTTACCCCACCTTGCGCGCACCCGGCCCTTTGTCCCGCTCCTCCAGACTTCTAGGTCCCCCGGCGCCCCGGCACACGACCCCAGCCCGCGCCCTCACTCACCCGTGCGGAGCAGCCCGCCAGGGCCGCGGCTCTCAGAGCCGCTCAGACAGGTGTGGGCGCGGAGAGGGCGCGCGCGACTCCCATGCTTGCCCCGCGTCGCGACCGAGTGTTAGCGAGCTGGAGAGCAGCGCCGGCAGCGGGCGGTTCCGCCCCCCGCGCCTCCCGGGGCCCGCCCGCCCCGCCTTAGGCCTCGGGGAAGCCGCGCTGCAGCAGCCCGCCCCACCGCACGGCCGCGCCCCCCTCCCGGCGTCTCCAGTCCCCGGCCAGGGCAGGAACGCTCCTCCGAGTCTGACTGCTGCCCAGCCGCCCAGCGCAGGTGGGTCCCGGCGCAACAGCACTGACCAGTCCCGGCTTCTCGGCGCCAGCTAGCGCCGGCTCTGGCCAGGACCGTGCGCCTTCACCCTTTGAACTACGGGCACCCCCGGGCTGGGGCTCAGCCTCCTGAAGTTGTTCGTGGCCCTGAGTCCGCTGCCAGCACTTAAAGACAAGGTGTTCCCCAAGGGAGCTCCCCTCTTACCTGGAACTAAAAATAGTTATACACGTGGTGCATGGGGTGTCCCTAGGCAAATTTGAGTTGCCTCAAAACCTATGCGCTCACCACCCACATACATTTTGAGCGTTTTAAAGTGATGACTGAATTCCTTTCCGCTTTACCCAGTGTCTCAAGTGTCTCCAAAGAACAGAAACTTGCATTCCAGTTCGCAGGACCACCAATGCCTTGCATCCCCTGCAACACCCACTTAGTTCAGTGCGTGTGTCCGGAGCATAGCAGGGACTTGGCAATTGCTGAACTGCTCACTGGCTGGTGAGCCCCCCACACTATCACCTCTCCCCAGCTGGCTACTTTGGGCGGGGCACCAGGGTACCAGCTGGTGGAATCATCTTTTCGTACCTTGGGCCTGCTTTCCTGAGTCAGGCCAAGTAGTCCACAGCTGGGACAGGGCAGAGGGTTCCTAGGGCTTTTCCTTGCCACAGGCGACCTTAAATGGTGACCTCCATTTAAGGAACAAATGCTGGAGCCTTGCAATTCACCTCCTATGCGTCAGCTACACATACAGCCTTTTGTGGTTTAGAGAGTACAGAGATTACTGCTAATTTACAATAAGGGCTGGAGGTTTGGAGAGGTTTAATGACTTGCTCTAAGTCACACAGCTATTGAATGATACGACAAAAATTTGCACTGAGGCCACATTTCTTTCTATCAAGCCGCTTAGCTTTCCTTTTTCCTGCCAAAGCCTGCTCTCAGAATGGGAGGGCCTAACATACTATTGGACAACACGTTGTTATTGACATACCTGATGTGTTTGTGTTTGCAATTGATTTTAAATAAGAAAGCCTGGAACACATTATTGTGTGGTGTTTCTCAAGTATAAGAGAAATCAATATTATCCACCATTTTAAGGACAAGTTTTTCTTAGATTTCTCTAGTCTTTGCTTAAATTTTCTTCTAAAACCATTCCTATACTATATAGACATAAAAAGATATAAACTTATTTCAGCTTTTGAACAACTTGAGAATAAAACCAAAACAAACCACAGGCTGGTGATCTGCTAAAAACAATAAAACCAAAATCAAATATAAAAATTATCTTCCAGAACTATAAAATTAAATTGGTACAGATTCCTTGACTACTTTCAGTGTCATGGGGGTACCAATGCTTAGATGTGAGCATCTTTGAGTTCTCTGTGTGTCTAACACTCTCATGATCTGTGAGGTACACTCCCTTCCACATCTATTTTGATCACCCTATATCATTATAATATCTGACTTTTACTTGACCTAATACATCTTTTAGGGATTCTCTTTATGTCCCTACCTTCTTGTTAGCATATTTCTTATCACATAATAATAAGTGGTAACTCTTGGGGCCAAAGAAAAGCACATAATCTGAAATCCAGATATAGTACTTAGTATGAGATGGTCATCCCAATGATCCAGAATGTGCTTATATTCACTTTTTATCATAAAAATGAAAAAATAAATTAGGAATCTTCAAGGGTCTTTAGCTCCTAATTGGAAAACACCATGAAAAGTCAAGTATCTTATTTAATAGAGGATCTGGTGGTAGAGTCAGAAGGAAGGGAAAAAAGGAATGAATTCTCAACTATGCTCAAGTTTTGTTAGATTTATCCCAATAAATATTTATTAAGCACCTATTATGTGCAAATATTGTGGCAAGCATAAAATGGAAGAGATGATCATAGGTACACACTATAACTGCACAGTTGAGGGTATCCCAGTATACCCACTGTGTGTCTGGGTACCATTTCAGTGTCTGCCATTTACTAGCTGTGTAGTTTTGCTAAGCCTTTCTGTGACTTGATTTCTTCCTCTATAAAATCACTACTACTTCATGGATTTTTTTTAAAGAATTGAACAAATTAATACATATGATGTGCTTAGAACAATTTCATGCAGTAAGGCCCTAATAAATATAGCTGCTGTTACATGAGTCATGCAGAAGGAACATGCCTTAGCTCTGCTTTTGAGCAGACTCCTCTAGCACCACCTCAACCCACTTGGACTTTCATTGCTTATTTTTCCTAGCAGTTGTAATGTCTTCAGGTGGATTCATGGAGGACAGGATGATTATTTTCATCATTTGGAGAGAAAAACTAAGGCATAGAAAGGCCCCAGAGCAAATGACTTCCTCAGCCAGTTTCAGGGGTATGCTACCCAAATAGCTAACAAGCAGATTTCTAGCTGCAGATGACTAATGATTAGGGAGGGGAGGGGGGCATTAGGGCTTGGAAAAGGACTATCCACTGTTGTTGTTTCCTGGAACTGTCAGTAGAAAAAGGAGGGGGTATTACCTGGTTTTGAATGCTATATGGTCAACAACTATGACAGGTTTGTAGAGCATTTTGACCTTTGAGAGAAATATTCTGTGTAAAACGCAGGTGTCCTCATGCTCAGCCTAGAAATCTGCTTTTCTTTTTGTATTTGTTCCATCTCTTCCATCAACTCCCAGAAAAGAACAAACCAAAACATTCATGGCTTTTCAAGAAATCAGAAATCATTCTTCTCAGAAATCATTTAAATTTGTAAATCTCAAATATGTTTTATGTCCCTGGCAACTGAATGGTTAAAAATGCAAGGAAAGGCCCACACATTCACTGACTCCCCCACTCTGCATAAGATTTCTGGGACTCTGGGGGAGAGCAAGCAAATATCCCTTACCTCAAGGACTATTATGCTATGGACATTATACAAAATCCAACATGGGAGACAGTAAGATACAGGTTAGATCAGGATATGGACATGAGCTGCAAAACATGGAAGAGAGAATCATTAATTCCCACTCTGACAGGTGCTGAAGCATCCCTGAGGCAGTCGGAGTTGAGATGGTGCTTAAAGAATGAAGATCAGGGCAGTGTTTTGATACATATCACCTTACTGTGTTAGCCCACCTTGTAACATAGATAAAAAGAAAAATTTTCAGTGCATAGGAAGACTGATGTGTAAGTTAAGGGAGCAGAACTAAGACTAAATTGTAATAATTAGAGCTTTGTTTACTGAATGTACACACCATGCCAGGTACCATGGAATATATCTTATTGCATGGAATTGTCAAGATAAACAGAAAAAGAGGGAAGAGTTAGTCTATTTTGTGATGCTGTAACAGAACACCCCAGACTAGTTAATTATAGTGAACAGAAATTTATTTGGCTCACAGTTCTGGAGACTGAGAAGTTCAAGATTGAGGGGGCCATATTTGGTGAGGGCCTTCTTACTGCATAATAGCAAGGCAGAAGGGATTGCAGAGAGAGCAAGAGCAAGACAGAGAGCGTACAAGAGTGAGCCAAACTTGTAATCTCCAAGATATGTAAGGAACTCAAAAACTTAACACCAAAAAAAACCAAACAAACTAACAAATAACCCAATCAATAAATAAACAAAGGAACTGAACAGACACATCACAAAAAAAGAACTACAATCTATCAACAAATATATAAAAACAATGTTCAACATCTCTAGCAACTAGAGAAATACAAATTAAAACTACACTGGGATTTTATCTCACTCTAGTTAGAATGGCAATTATCAAGAAAATAAGCAACAGTAAGTGTTGGCAAGGATGTGGGGGAAAAGGTATACACTCATACATTGCTGGTGGGATTGCAAATGGGTACAACTACTATGGAAAATAGTATGGAGATTCCTCAGAAAACTTGGAATGGAACCACCATTTGACCTACTATCCGACTCCTCAGTCTATACCCAAAGGACTTAAAATCAGCATACTAGAGTGATGCGGCCACATCAATGTTTATAGCAGCTCAGTTCACAATAGCTAAGGTATGGAACCTAGGTATCCTTCAACAGATAAATGGATAAAGAAAATGTGGTATATATACACAATGGAATATTACTCAGCCATAAATAAGAATGAAATTATGGCATTTACCCATAAGTGAATAGAACTGGAGATAATCACGTTAAGTGAAATAAGCCAACCCCCAAAACAAAAGGCCCAATGTTCTAGCTAATATGTGGATGCTAACACACAATAAGGGGGAAGGAGGAGGAAGAATAGATGTTCATTGGATTAGACAAAGGGAATGAAGGGAAGGGAGAGGAGATTGGAATAGGAAAGATAGTAGAATTAATCAGACGTAAAATTCTTATGTTCATATATGAATACACAACCAATGTAATCCCACATCATGTACAATCACAAGAATGGGAAGTTGTACTCCATGTATGTATGTCAAAATACATTCTATTGTCATGTATATATAAAAGAACAACAACAACAATAAAAAGAGTGGGCCAAACTCACTTTTGTAACAAACTTGCTCTTACAATAATGATTTCATTTCCTGATTAACAATATTAATTCATTTATAAGTGTTCTGCCTTTTATAGTTACCACCTCTCAAGCTGTTCCTTTGGGAATTAAGTTTCCAACATAAGAACTTTGGGAAACAGATTCACACCACAGACAGGGGCTGATTTTCTCCATTTTGCAGATGAGGAGGCTAAAGTTCAAAGTGATTAAATCAGATACCTGGTGCTAAACTACTAATTTAACCCAGCTGAGAGTTTTGCCCAGCCTGTCTTACACATTAGCTGAGTTTCATTGTGTTGTGCCACTTTCTGGACTTGCCTTTTCTAGTG